AGCTTACATTTAGTAGGTTAGAAAAATTAAACTTCTTAAAATGAAGATTCACGATTATGCTGGACTTTTTAACGTCTTCATTCTTTCAGAATATGGATTACAATATGCAACAAGCTTCCTTCAGTGCTCAGTTATTTCCTACTGGTCTGTTTTATTACACACATTTTTTCTTTTCAAAAGCCAAATGTTTTGCTCTTAATCAGTGCTGAATTAAGCTATGTTTACTTCAGTGAAATATCTAAACCGTTTTTAGACACAAGAAACCAAGTTGCAGACGTTCAACTCGCCTGGAATACTCAGTCTTACAACAATGAGTAAGCATCGAAAAATATTTACTTGAACAGTTGTTGTAATATCATGTACTCTATTGAGGCTGTAGTTTTATTTTTTCTCCGTCTTATTCAGTTACGATTTTTTGCTGCATTTGAATCAGCCTGATGAAAATAAACAGCTGTTATCTTCCATCTAAGTACTATAAATATTGGTTTTAGAAATTCATTTGCCGAGAGCAAGGAAAATTTCTTCCTTGAACAGCCTTGTTCAGGGAATCAGGAGTTCCCCTGGGCAGCTGAAACTAATGAGCAACCACTTTTTGATGGTTGCTCATCAACTGTTGAACAACAACAGTTCTTGCCACCTCAGACGAACTATGAGCTAGTTAATGACGTGCGAGAAAACGTCGGATTTGATGCTTGTTCCATCAACTCACAACCTGTAAGAGTGTTAATGACTCGACAGAACTACTTTGAACCGCATAATTGTATACCGCAATCATTAGACCAATTAACTGTGGTGAATAATAGACCAATTAACTGTGGTGAATCAACACCCTACCGTTTCCCCCCAGTTTGTAGTGCACAGGCAAATACAAACTGTATTGAGGCGACTTGTAGCGCGGCGCCAATGCAGAATTCTGGTGACTGGTATTCAGATGCAAATTTATGCTCATCTTCTGTAACAGTATGCCAGACCAACAGCGGAGTCAGCGGCCAGGTCAATCGTTTACCTCTATTAAAAAAATAATTTAGTTTATTAAAAAAGTAATTTAGTAGATAAATTTGGAGTTTTCGAGTTAATAACTTAGAGTTGTGTAGAAATTGTTTTTGAGAAAATTTTAACTATTGGTCATCTATAGGTGTTTTGAAACTGTCCAAAGTTAGTTCGCTACAACTGTAGCATATTAGTAAACGTAATTTTAACTTTCAGAAGTATAAGGAAATGGTTGCAGAACAGTGGGCTTTTGATAAAGTGTCGCCTCCAATATCTCCTAATTTTTACACCACAGACGAAAGAGGACAGCGGCCAAAAGTTAGTAAAACTACTCATTCGTTATTTTTGCTATAATCTACTCTTATAATTTTTACAATTGAATAAAACTTCATGTTTATTTAGAGAATTCGTAGCCATACAAATTCGGTTTGCTCAAACTGCAGTACGACTGTAACAACGCTTTGGAGAAGACGAGCCGATGGTTTACCGGAATGCAAGTGAGTATTTAAGTATCGAGACAGATCGTTTTGCGTTTAAAATTCTGAGACATTGTTGCGGTAGTGATATGGGTTATACATAAAAAGAAGATCTGCGATTAATAGGTAATGCGACAGTTAATTTTTGTAAGTAAAAGTATGGCTTCTGTAGTGCTTGCAACCTGTATTTTCGAAAAAACGGCCGAGCAAGACCAGCGAGTTATAATAAAGGAATCAGAAGAAGATCCAGAGTACAAAGCAAAACGAAACGGGAATTGTGCTGTTAATTGTTATTACAGTCAATGCTTGAGCTAACTGGACGGCTAAATGCAGTTTGTGGTATAAGTATGGGTATATCAGAGCTATTTTTTATCTGTTTTTATCTGTTCTTATCTGTGTAAGATATACCTCAAGTGTCCAACTGAATTAAATTCATTTCATAATGAATTCTGTTTGCTGTCGTTAGTTCTATTTAGAGTGTCAGTAATATTTTATCTGGGTTATATAGTTTTTTTAAAATAGAATTTTTTTGTTAAACAAAGATAAATCAACTCCTCAGAAGTCTCTCTTTTAGTTCTTGTATCAATTTCTTCTACATACAACTGGCTGCTGTGAAAAATCTGTTACAAATAAAAATTTCCTTTTCTCTTGAAAAGTTGAATCAATATAGTGAGAAATATAAGAGGAAGTGTCTCCTCGCTGACTGCCCACTGAAATGATAAAACGATGTTTAGAAAATCTCTCTTTTATTTTTTGCCTCTTTGGTGGCGATGCAGTAAGAATTAATAGTCATCAAGGATGGTAAATAAAGACAAAAAATTTTAATTTCCGACTGTAACGTTTTGATGAGTTTAGTGGGTATGATGTGCAAGTTAGTTCAACTAACAACAGGATGAGAGTAATAACTGCCTGTATCGGCAGAAGTGGAGTGAGAAGTTACAAAGAAGTTGCGTAAGACTGATGAGGTCAATAAAATGAACAAAATGGCAGTATTGTGATAAAACAGAACGGGATAGGAAAAGGTAGGACAAGAAAATTTAGGAGAAATCAGCATATCATTCAGCTAATGCTTGCGTTACAAAAAAAAAAAACGCAAGCATTGTTGACTCCTCAAATATATTTGATCTGATTTTGGAAGATAAGAAGCGCTGACAGTTATACGCTATAATTTCGGAATACAACTTACATCTTTTGAGACGCATTACAATGTGTGAAAATTGCAAATTTAGCAGTATACAAGCACAAAAAGAAAATATAAAGTACATTACAAACTCAGATTGATTGGCGAAAGCTTAGCAAGTGAGGAAAGCTTTTATCAAAACTTAGTGGACAGCCTGCTGAGCGGTCGCTGATGAAAAAATGATCATTTCTTTTGTATAGCAGGCGGTAACCTGTAAGTACTTCCTTTGTTACAATCAGTTTTATTACTTTTATACAGATGCTCAATTTAACTTTCATCTCACATTTATAATTTTTGAAAGAATCATACTCTCTTTAGTCTCGAGATTATACAGTCAACGTAGGTACCTTTAGCTTCTAAAAACTATAAACCAAAAACATTGCTTTTAAATTGACTTTTATTGTTCTGCAAGGTGCAAGAAGTAATAAAAAGAGCTTGTCCTTTTAAAAGGCCACGAGCTAAGGCAACACTGATCTTACTACATTATAGTGTCAACAATGGTTTTGCCGCGAGCTAAGGCAACACTGATCTTACTACATTATAGTGTTAACAATGGTTTTGCCGCGAGCTAAGACAACACTGATCTTACTACAATATAGTGTTAACGATAGTGATCTAAATCTGCGTTGGCATATAACAAAGAATAAACAGGCAAAATACCTCTAAAAAATCGAAAAAGTATTTGCATGTAAAATCAGCCAGCCTTTTTACAGCAGTGAGATACAAGTTTTGGGCAAGTCGTTTTGGTGAAATTTATTTTACCACAAAATTTCATGCATAATCGCTAGGTATAATACAATTTTATCTGCCGTCTTCCTGGCAAATTTTCCCTTCGGACTGTTGTGATTAAGAAGTACAAAAAATTGATTATATGAAATGGGAAAGTTTAAGTTGCTAGACAAATTTCTGTCGCATAATGGCAGTGAAACTTTTGAAGCATCTATAAAACCAATTTTTTCTTGACACACATCAAGCTGTTTTGGCTTGACGATGGTTTGTTTAGCAATTTTTTCTCTTACTTGGTTAGTAGATGGTTAACAGTTAACTACAATAAAACAATGCAATAGTTCAGCTCATCACAGAAACTTTAGTTTAAAACAATTATACGTTTATAAGATAGGCAACCACATTTGTGGATATAATTTTTTGGTAAATTTTTGAGCATTTAGAAGCAAATAGTTCGTGTCACAAACAGAAATTAAGCTGGAATTCAATCTTAAAGATTCTTAGATCATGTTAGGAAAAATAAACTACTTTCACTTGCCCTCAGACCTTTATACTATTCAATTAAAAAATCAGTTGTAGTTGGTTCTGATGTTATAGCTGAATAAAAAGAAAATTTTTCAAAGTTCAACCACTTTACCGTCTTCAAACGAAACCTTTGGTGAAAAGTTTACTCTTATGTTTTATTGTGATTTTATTCTATAAATAAAGTGGTTTCTTTAGACAAATTTTACAATAAACAGTAAAGTTTTTTTACGATTTCATGATACATTCAGCAGTTAAAAAATTTTGGCTAAGTTGGAAGAATGACACCTATGTTGCCTAATTTAACTATGAATCGTTCTCTTTATGAATTTACTATTAGCTTTCTCAAAATCGTAAATTTCTACAGAAATTTCCTCCTAGCCTGAGACGTCCGGTACAAATTTTTTTTTCAAGAATGAGTCTGTCTTGTATTAATTAAATTTTTGTGAAAAAATGTTTTTTTTTTAGCTGTTGTCTTGATGAGAAGCCGATAATATAGCTGGGTTTTTTCTTACAGTTTACTTATTGGCATTGTTCTTTTTCTTTTCTTTAAAGCCAATTTTATTAAAAAATAGAGCGTTTGAATAGAAAAATCTATGGAAACAGTGGAGTATTTATACTTTTTCGTTTCTAAAAATTAGTAAAGGAAATAGATAAGAAACTGATGCTGCTGCAGTTATGATTGTCCGACCAAAAACATGCTTTTTTAATCGTGATCTTTACTTTAAATTTTATACAGAGAGTTTTCGACTGCTGCTAGTTTATCTGTCTATTTAGTTTTTGT